ATTTTAGGCGAAAAAATAACGAGATGTTGTGAAGAGACATAATCGCCTTCGTTTTGAAGACGCATAGCATACAATACAAGAATAAACTAATTTTAGTACTGGCCTTTTTTATGTACAGTGAGTAGGAAATGTTCTTTTTCTAATTTAAGCCAAGTTATCATTCCAAGAGTTGTCGCGAAGATTGAACACTTTGGCTTACTCTTGATGCTGCAGTTTCAGCTGATCAATTCTTCGGCTTTCTCCTTCGTCTACAAACATGCTAACTATAGTTAATTTAAATGTTTTTATTGTAATGTAAGACGGGAAGTGTGTTGAGGTTGGGGGAAAACACCTAACCTATTTCTCTCATCAACTACGGGATAATAGGTAGAGAGGAGAAAGAGATGGGTGGTAACACTGCCTCAGATACCACAGCAACGTTAGAGCCAAAATGCCCACGGGACAGACTTAACAAGACACTGGGTCTAACCAACAGCTATTTTTTTCCTGTTGGCATAGATCATCTTACAAAGACACGTATCATGACTACTTGCAGGGAGGCTTGTATCTATACATACCAAGCTGTCCTGCTACTAACAGAGGTAAAAACCGGATGTAACTGGTGTTGACAAGCATGTCCGCACGCGATCCGAGGCCTCTTTTGCGTCTGTACCGACACGTGTTCGCCACAGCTTTTCATATTTTTACAGGTGATTTATTATAATTGCGAGATGCATTTGAAATAGTTACCTCATTGTTCGTTTGTTTATTTTCTGTAACTGCAGCATTTCAGCCAATATATTCAACAGCCTTCTTCTGTAAGGAAATATAATTTTATTGTTCGTAGGAATAAAAACAGGACGTATAAAAATGTAAAATGTTTGGACAAACACGCCTTGCTTAGAGAGGCTTATTTCTTGGTTGAGTTTGCAAACTAAGCCAGGGAAATATACTTACTGCATTTTTATACACCCTTCATGGTACCTCCTGGAATGGCGTTTCAAATAAAAGCTTCTCCAGATAACAGAAACTATATCTCTTGAGGACATTCAACAGCAGCAACAACTAAAATGAATCAAGATGTTGAGGTTCCACAATACTTTGAAGAAAAGGTTAGAAAGGAAAACCCCGTCAATACTGGAAAGAGCCATAACAGCTACTAAACTATAGTAGAAATAATTTATAAACTTCAACCGATAGTATCTCCGGCTTTTCGGTCAGTGAATGCTAAATGTAATTAGTTGTTGTTATACACATGCGTTCTAAATTTCGCTTATTCAAACAAGCATGGGAGCTAAAAGATCTCTAAATGTTTCTTCTGTAATCTGGTTCCAAAATGTTTATAGAAGAATCCTTTAAAATACCTTGACTACCATACGATCTACCCGGGTGTCGTAGAGGTATTTCTGCAAGGACTACACGACCCTCCGGTGGGTCGTTTTTTCAATTTCATTTGTATTATGATTATTAGGAAAGGGACGCTATGATTGAATACTGATGGGATCATAGTACACCAGAAACACATTTTTTTTAATAAATATGTTCTTACTTTTTGTCTTTTATTCCGTTTTGTTTTGGAATTTCTAAGGCTGTTTTTTGGGGGTTATTGTTTTTTTACATAACAGAGCTTTAACACGCATTCGTGTGGGTCGTGTGAGACTCTGGGTTGTAAAATGGACTCAGATACCGAAAGACGTACCTGTGGGTTGGTAATAAATACTACTCATGCTATCTTTGATTTATATATAAAACAATGTTAAAACAAAATCGCTTGTATCAAAATGAATTAAGATGCATTATAGGAACCTGGAACAACAAGAGAAATGAGACTTGGGAACAAGCGTGTTAAACATTGAAAGCTCTGAGTCGGTGGTTCAACTGAATTAACTTGGTTGGTACTGTAGGTTCATAAGTGCTCAATGGGAATGAAAGCTGATGATTTAGAGGAGAGATCAACAAGTATTTTTTTTTTCATTTTTTTAAAACCATTCTAGTACAACTTGTGTAAGTTTGAGAAAGGCTCAATTGCCATTTTAAGAGACTGTGGACATGAAGAGCTGTGCCTGTTCCTCATTAATAATTGAGGTATAAGGTATATGATAAAGGTCTTTTTATATAGTGGAACCTACGACTTTACCGAAAACATCGCAGAGCAATCACCATTTTATTGTTTTACAACAGCTTATCCGAGTATCACCGCAGCGTAACGATTAACTGCGTCTTGTCAAACTAAGCGAGCCAGCACTGCCTATACGAAGAATGTGTAACCTCTATAGACGCTTTTGTAAATGCTTTTTGGTTAATATGGACAGTCAGATGAAAATGTCTACCCATTCCAACATGCAACCAGGATCATTGTTTTGTTTGTTTTGCTTTTTTTTCCACATGATTCCTAGAAATCTCCGTAATTGTAATAATTTTGCTTTGTCATTTGACATAGAGCTCTTCCTGGATCTCTCTCTCTCTCTCTCTCTCTCTCTCTCTCTCTCTCTATATATATATATATATATATGAAATATGAATGAATCCCGTTTATTTTAAATGAAAAATTTATTTTAAGAATAAATGAAACTGTAATAATCATCGTATAATATATGAACTGCGCTACCATTGCCTCAACCAGATATATTTATTCAAATTGAAATTACGTAAAGGTATATATCAAGGTAAGAGGAGAACGAATCGAGTAAAATTCCAACGTTCGTAACATTTCAAAGTAGAACAATATTATTTATTTTAGGATATTACATCGAAAACCTGTCAAAATCGCTACACCATTGCAGTCGTGTTCCGATGCATCTCAATGCATCTCATCAGGCGATTGTAAATCTAAATAAATCGTTCACTCGCCAGTAACTTGATATGATGTCTATGTAATATCCTAAAGTAAAATATATATATGTGTGTGTGTGTGTGTGTGTGTGTGTGTGTGTGTGTGTGTGTGTGTGTGTGTGTGTGTGTGTGTGTGTGTGTGTGTATATATATACATATATTGTAACCTAGGAAGTGTTATTGAATGAGGAATGACCAAAACGGAGGTTGGGAATGAAACCAACAACATACAATACTCTCTCCAACGCCCTGAAGCAGGTAAACCACTGCCAGTGGTGGACTACTAAGCATATTACCCCCACTTACAGTAGTGTCCAACATATTTATGAGGATTGGGACATACACATTAGTGTTTATAGGTATGTATATATATATATATATATATATATATATATATATATATATATATATATATATGTGTGTGTGTGTGTGTGTGTGTGTGTGTACACTCCGACATGCCAAATGTCTTGGAAATTATTATATCAAATTCTGATGTATTTGAGACGTAGTTTTCACCATTTCTTTCGAAGTACTCTATCGAAGAGGACTATATAATAAAATAGTTCTAATAGTAAAACAGGAGCGGCGTAAACCCGTATGACCTGGCAATATTATAACTGTTCCAATTTCACGAATTTTGGTGTTTAACCTCGTATGTACATGGTTAGATTACTAAGTCAATAACGTAATGATAGAAAAAACATTTATCGTGCATCACACATATTTATTTGTTATCATAATTTCTTTATCAATTATCAATGTACCAGAGCGGCCTGTTAAGAGGCACGGTTCGGGTTGCGGAATCGAAGAGTCGTGTTTGAATTCAAGCCGGATCCATTACATTCACTTACGTACTATTAACATTGGGAAAAGATATGAATCCTGTTCTCCATATGGGTTAATACCAGGACAGACTGGATTTTATAGCCTTGGGTGGCAACCGGTATAGGAGAACGTAAATCTGAATTCAAAAATGTATGCAGCCCTGGAAAAGATCGTTTGCATTGACTCGATGATCCCGACTACGGTCGAATGATGGTGATGATGATTTTCTTCAGATTGCTTCTCATATTTCTTGCATATCTGGGCCTTTCAATGGCAGCTTCTATTATAGCTTGCTGCATTCTGTAATTTACATTGATTTTTTTGGTTCCAAATGTAGGCTTGTGAAAAGGGCTGTTAAATTTATTGTCTGGGTTCCAAAGAGGAAAACTCATCAGAACAATTACCAAGAAAATATTTAAGAAAAGGCACAGTTAAATTATGTTATGGCAGTGGGAAAGTGATTGAAGCCCAGATGCCAGGTCAGGACTAATAACACTGCAAATTCTTCTTTGGAATTTATCAAGAATCTCTAAATACATTTCAGAAGCACTAGACCAGATGTAAAAGAAATATTCAGTGAATTTAGGAATGGTAAACTTTTAGGAGGCACAGTGGAGTAATGGATAGCAGCTCAGACTGAGGAATCGGAGAGCCAAGATCAAATTCCAGACGAATCCATTACATTCACTTACGTACTATTACCATTGGGAAAAGATATGAATCGTCTTCTTCATATGGGTTAATACCAGGACAGACTGCATTCTATAGCCATGGGTGGCAACCGGTATAGGAGAAAGTAAATCTGAATTCAAAACTGTATGCAGCCCTGGAAAGAATCTTTTGCATTGACTCGATGATCCCGACTACGGTCGAATAATGATGATGATGATGATGATGATGATATGAACACCATGACTCTGGAAACGGAATTTCAACTAGGTTTTTGATGTTGCTAATTGGACACATATAGGCCCAGTTGTTTCGAATTGATGGTCGGGTTTGACGAAGCAAATACGGTGAACCCAATTGTTTGTACACGCGGCGTGCAAAAACTTTTGCGTTATGATTTATAAAGGTAATAGTAGATGGCGCCACCGTACCTTGACGTCGCGGAAATGGCCACAACTTTACCAGTTCTACTCTAGCATCAGATCAGTTAGTGTTAGCATCGGCTATGTAATTCGTGACAGGAATTATCATAGTTCGAACGGGACATGATAGAAATGGCTGCCAGATGGCTATGATTATTTTCTAAGCTTTATATGTGCCACAAGGCCGAAATTATTGAGCACTATAAAAATAGAACTGACCACTCAGTCGTAATCTGCCAGATTTTTATAAATTCCATTTCTGAAATTATGGGCTTACGCTCATATCACGTTTAAACATTGGTTCTCGTCTAATCTCCGAAGTTAAGCAACGTCGAGACCGGTCAGTAGCTAGATAGGTGACCGCTTGGGAATACCAGGTGTTGTAAGCCTAGATGTACGGTTGGTATGACGGATAATGGCTCGGTATTGTTAATCGGAGCGCTGAGTTCCAATTCCAGTCAGGTTCTTTATATTCACTTTCGCGCAGTTACCGTTGGGAAAGTTATGAAAAAACCTCTTCTCTGCCACCTCCTCCCCAGATGTGGGTAAATTAATAGTACTTGTATCAATAAATGAATTATTATCTCCAAACAATTTTTACAATCACGTTTACAATGTATGTGTGTGCTATATTCTTTTGATTGGCGAAAAAATGTTGCTCGTAAACTGACTTAACTTAATATATAACAGCTAGCTAGCTAGCTAGCTAGATAGATAGATATTTAAAGCCGGAAAGTACAGTGTGGTTGGAAAGTCTTGTCACCACAACCCAATAGACATTTTTTTTATTTCAGATGGCTAACAGGAACACCTACATGAAAACGAGGCTTTTCATAGAGAGCTTCTCGATGTATGACAACATCAATGAAGGTGAATAAACTGAATTCAGTATATGTGTTTTCTATTACTGTATTACTTGTTCTATTGTTTTCATTACTTTCTGGTAGCGGATGTGAAAAGACTTTCGGACCACACTGTAGTTTCCGGCTTGAAATAACCTCTCAAACGTTGATAAATCATAAAAAGAAATCAAATCAATCAACATATATGTATAGTTATAGATATAATTTTAAATATAAACGAATTCAGAGTAGAACAGCAATATTTATTTATTAATCTTTAAAGACGTATGACGATACCGCAATCTAAAATCTTCTTTTCATCACATGACAAAGCAATATCGACTTGAATCTATTTTCATTGATTTCCTTTGTGAAAGTCCTTGTTTTGCCGACAACTTATTCTCTGCAAAATATTTTGTTTTCTTTTCATATACAAGTTTATTTCCACGTTTTTATACCCCAAGTATTCTCTCCTCCGTTCTTCAGATTAGATGGAAATGAAAAAAAAAATCACTCGGATATATTAATAGGACCCAGTCAGCCATTTAACAGCTGAACGTTGCGAAATGCACGGCTTTTTTTTAAAAGACTGGAATGAGAAATGATAAAAGGAACGACAAAGGACAAAATGGGAAAGTATCTTGAAAGAATATGGCGGATATAAATCGAGTGGGCCCTTTTGATAGTACGACAGAATAAGGTAGGGCGTTAGTTAGATTGAAATTACGGGCGTATTCAGTGAAAAGAAGAAAACGAAAATAGCTTCCTCGACAGAACATATTGATAACATAACACACATACAAACACACACATATAAACATATATATATATATATATATATATATATATATATATATATATATATATATATATATATATATATATATATATATATATATATATATATATGTGTGTGAATGTAGATATATCTATATATTTATATATATATTCATATTTTCCCTATATATATATATATATATATATATATATATATATATATATATATATATATATATATATTTATATGGTGATAGAGAATAACATAGGTTTTAAAGCATTCATAACCTACAAAAGGAATAGAGGTAAAAAAAAAAAAAGTGTGAATATGAACAGACAGACAGACAGACAGATAGATAGATAGATAGATGAATAGATAGATAGATAGATATGTACAAATTGAGGTAGGTTGATAAAGCTGAAAGAATATATATATATATATATATATATATATATATATATATATATATAGAGAGAGAGAGATAGATAGATATGAACAGAACAGCTGAAATTTCCGATATTTGTTTTTATTTGTATTTCTGTAAGGTTAGACACATACACAAATAATATATATATATATATATATATATATATATATATATATATATATATATATATATGAATCGTCAGCAACAGATCAATAGTCAAATATGAACAGAGAAAATCAGACAAACAGCGAGATAGATAAATGGAAAAGACATTTGAAGAAAAAAAGAAAAAGCTTTTTAATGTGTTCTTCATATCGCTGTATTGAAAGATCTTTCCTGCGGCTACAAATGAGACCATCGCAGTTTTCCATTTCAAACAATTAAGTGAATCGGGAAATGAATACAAAAGAGATACGGAGTGAAAAATGGGAGCAACAGTCAGTAAGAATTTTCAAATTAACCGCCGCCCAACTCTATTCTCTGTTTAAATAAAGACATTTTTATTAAACCCTTTTTTCCTCATCGCTTTCAGCCATAGTGAGATTAGCTTCATTCTTGTCAGATTTACGGGTCTGACGACGAACTTTTTTTTTTTTTTTTACCTTTTTTTTTAATATTTATTTATTATGTCTTCTTTTGCTTCTTGTTTCTTTTCTGTACTTTGTCACGTTCTTTTTTTTTCTATTTATATCCCCATCCAATTTTTCATCTTTCTCAAACTTATCTCTTTATCTTTTCTTCGTTCCCTCGCTTTCAGTTTTTCATTTCTATCAATACCCAATATTTCATCTCCTTTTCCTTCTTTACATCAACACCCACTTCTTTATATTACCACCCCTTCCTTTTTCGTTTTCTTCTTTTCCTTCTTTTTTTTTTGTTCTTTGTCTTCTACTTTTTCCTCTTTTTCTTTCTTTTATTTTCTTCTTCCAATATTTATATCACTATCCAACTATTCTGGTTTTCTTTATTTATTTATTTATATTACTACACTTTTCTTCGGTTTCTTCTTCTTCTTCTTCTTCTTCTTCTTCTTCTTCTTATTCTCCTTCTTCTTCTCCTTCTTCTTCTTCTTCTACTTCTTCTTCTTCTTCTCCTTCTTCTCCTTCTTCTTCTTCTTCTCCTTCTTCTTCTTCTTCTTCTTCTTCTTCTTCTTCTCCTTCTTCTTCTTCTTCTCCTTCTTCTTCTCCTTCTTCTTCTTCTTCTTCTACTTCTTCTTCTTCTTCTTCTTCTTCTTCTTCTTCTTCTTCTTCTCCTTCTTCTTCTCCTTCTTCTTCTTCTTCTTCTTCTTCTTCTTCTTCTCCTTCTTCTTCTTCTCCTTCTCCTTCTTCTCCTTCTTCTTCTTCTTCTCCTTCTTCTCCTTCTTCTTCTTCTTCTTCTTCTTCTTCTTCTTCTTCTTCTTCTTCTTCTCCTTCTTCTTCTTCTTCTTCTTCTTCTTCTTCTTCTTCTTCTTCTTCTTCTTCTCCTTCTTCTCCTTCTTCTCCTTCTTCTTCTTCTCCTTCTTCATCTTATTCTCCTTTATTTTCTTCTTTCATCTGTTGTTTTTCTTCGTCGTCTTCTTCTTCGTCTCCTTTTTATTTTTTCTTCTTACTTCTTCCATTGTTGATATCACTATTCTGTTTTTCTTTCTTTCTTTATATTACAATCTTTTTCTTCTTCGACTTCTTCGAATTCTTCCTTTCCTTTTTCTTCTCCCATTATTTATATTACTATCCGACCCCTGTCTTTTTCTTTCCTTCTTTCTATTAATATCCTTTTCTTCTTCGTCGTCGTCTTCTTTTTTCGATTCTTCTTCCTCTTCATTTTCTTCTTTTTCACAATTCATTGTTTTATATTCTTCTACTTCCTTTCCTTTATCTATTCATTTCTTCTTTTTCCTTCCACATTTTCTTCTTGGAGAATATATCCCTATCCATTTGCTCTTTTCCATTTTCTGTTTTGTTCTTTTCCTTCTTCATCTATTTCTTCTTCTTCTTCTTCTTACTCTTCTTCTTCTTACTCTTCTTCTTCTTCTTCTTCTTACTCTTCTTCTTCTTTATCACTATCTCTTTCTTCGTCTTCTATATTCATATAGATTCATTTACCACCAACATCTTTATATATATATATATATATATATATATATATATATATATATCATTACCTACTTCATCTTTTTCTTTATTTGTCTCATCCGCCAATTCTTCTCTTAGCGTTTTTTCTTCCTATTATTTTTACTTTTCATCATCTTTCACGCTTTTATTTTATATATTTCTCATTTTTGAATGAAATTTTCTCTTTTCTTAGCTCTCCTTCATTCGTCTTACGTCTCCTCTGTTAATCTCAAAACATCTGATCAAAGTCTTTTTCTGGTAAATTAAAAAAAGAACAATATTTTTGTTTTTTCTCATCCACTGTTCTTTTCGCTAATTATCCACACATACCAAAAGAGAATCGCACAATTGTTGCTCTATGAGTAAAACTAAGAGATATATTTTCTTTGTGACCAACTTGGATTTAGATGTAACTTACATGCGTAGAAGTAAATTTTCCTTAGATGTTTTTTCAATTAATCCTGATTTGGTAGCTTTTGAGCTAAAACCAACAAAAAAAAACAGTTAAATTCTTGAACATTTACTCATATTTTTCATTCTGTACTTTTGCGAAACTCATTTAAGTCAGTTTACTAGCAATATTTTGTCGCCAAATAATATAGCACACACATACATTGAAAACAGATATAGCCTCCATACATATATATATATATATATATATATATATATATATATATATATATATATATATATATACAAATGAGGAAGAAAAGAGGAGTAAAATCCACAGTTCGTAGGATTTATATTTTTTAAAAAGTGCTCAATACTAAGTTGAGTAAAATATCAATATCATATTTTCATTATAACAAATTACAATAAACCATTTTGCATCATACACAAATAATTTCATGTTTCAGTACTAAGATGGAACTTCTACTGAAACATGAAAGTTTTTGTGTAGCGATATAAAATGGTTTCATTGTAATTTATTATAATAAAAATATTACAATATATATATATATATATATATATATATATATATATATATATATATTTTCATATAGACACAAAAAATTTACTCACTACAAAGATGCAACCTCGTTTCGGTGCATTTAGTTGCACCTCGACTGGTAAGCACGAAAAGGGTTATTAACAATTCTGTTTGCAAGCAGGCCGCTCGTGGAACGTCACTTCCTTTTTCTATTTGTTTGAAAAAATGTATTTTAAGAGAGGACGTTAAAGAAAAGATAGGAAAGGCAAAAGGGTGACAGAGGGAAACAATAGTGCTTGCTGATAGCAGTTTCGTGAATA